AAAGGTAGTTAGTTGTAAAATAATACCACTCATTCCATCACAATTAACCACACCGCTGACAAATCCCCAAAATCAGTCAAATATCACTTTACATATTTTCCTAACATGGCGTCGATATGTAGACCTGAAAATTAATTAAATTATAGATTCTTGGTAAACTTGATGGCTGGTCGCCGCTACACGTCGACAAATTAATTCCAGCCTCCTATGGTAAGTTCCGATCCCCCTACCTATCGTCCACCGTGATAGAGGCTATGGCGTGCGAGGCATTTGGTACTTCTCCTGACGGGGGGTTCCGGTCATTCAGGTTCAATCGTCTATACATTTGGACCATTCCGATTCGCAGTGTTTACTCTGTGGCAATTTTCGTGGGTTTATTTTTTCAGGCGATTTTTTTTCTTCTATTTTCACTGTCTCTTTTTCTCTCACTATTTCTGTTCGTCTGTCTGTTCGTCTGTCTGTCTCTGTTCCATTGTCTGCTCTTCTTTGATTTTTCGTTGGTCATATTGAGTTCAATTGTCTATACATTAGGAACTTTCCGATTTCGCTGAGTTTTTCCTGGATTATTTTTTTTTATTGATTGATTACATTATTTTTCCTCTATGTTTCTTTGTTTGTAATATTCTTTAGCGTGTTGTCCGATTCTCTCTTTTATTGGTCGTTCTTCTTATTCCTTTTCGTTGATATATTACGAGTCGTTTCTATGTTTTTTTCGAGCCAAATGTCTATTTCCCTTCTCCTCTTTACCCTTCCTTCCCCTGTTCCTTCTCTTCCCTTCCTTCCCTTTCTCCCTCTCCATCTTCATCCTCTCCTCCCCCTCTTTATCGCTATCTTATCCCTCTCCTCTCCTTCTCCTTCCTTCATCTTATCCTTCTCCTGTCCCTTCCAATTCTCTCTTACCTTCTTCATTCCTTCTTTTATCTTCTTCCCTCCCATCACGTCTCTTATTCTCCTCCAATTCTCTCTCTCTCTCTCTCTCTTTCCATGTCATCATCTCCCCTCTCCCATTCCCACCCCCTTTATCTTCTCTTCCACTCAACTTTCCCCTCTTTCAACCCTCCTATTATCTTTCCTCCCGTATCCCCCATTCCTCCTCTCACTTCCCCTCACTTGTCTCCTCTCCCCTCACTTCCCCTCACCACAAGAAAAAGGGGAAAAGGAAAGGTTATTTATTTTTTTCTCAGTCAGAAAAATTACTCATCAACAATGGTACGAAGGAGGAGGAGGAGGAGGAGGAGGAGGAGGAGGAGGAGGAGGAGGAGGAGGAAGAGGAGGGAGTGGAGGAGGAAAGAAGGAGGAGGTGGAGGAGAGGAGGAGGAGGAAGAAAGAAGGAACAATCAGCATATTGCTACAGATGTGCCAGGAAGAAGTCAATGCCCTCCCCTCCTCTCTCCTTTCCTCTCCCTCTCTCCCTTCCTCTTCCTTCCTCCTCTCCTTCTCTTCCTCCTTCCTTCCTCCCCTCTCCTTCTCTTCCTCTATTCCTTCCCTCCCTCTCTTCTCTTCCTCCCTTCCCCCTGGCTGGCCTCTTATGAGATCTCACCATGTACTGTCAGTAATCTCCAAGATCTACCACATGTACTGTCCGTGTCTCCAAGATCTACCCATGTACTGTCCGTGTCTAAGATCACCACATGTACTGTCCGTGTCTCAAGATCTACCACATGTATGTCAAATGTCTCAAGATCTCTACATGTACTGTCCCGTGTCTAAGATCTACCATGTACTATCCGTGTCTCCAAGATCTACCATGTACTGTCCGTGTCTCAAGATCTACCACATGTACTGTCCGTGTCTAAGATCTACCACATGTACTGTCCGTGTCTAAGATCTACTACATGTACTGTCCGTGTCTAAGATCTACCACATGTACTGTCCGTGTCTAAGATCTACCACATGTACTGTCCGTGTCTAAGATCTACCACATGTACTGTCCGTGTCTAAGATCTACTACATGTACTGTCCGTGTCTAAGATCTACCACAATACCACATGTACTGTCCGTGTCTCAAGATCTACCACACCCTTAACCCCGCTATAATACCGTACAATATATTGAATCTTAAAACGTACACAATATTATATAGTGTACACCAAGCTAAACAATGTACTGTACAGCAAAAACCCTGACCATTGGTACTAACATTGGTACAGTGTAAGATGGCACAGTCACTCCAATATAATTAAACCACTTATCATAATAAATATTTCTTACAATGTAATGTAAGGACAAGGTAATTAGGATGGTTATAAATGCATCAAATTGTAACCAAATGTTCAATGTTCTATGGAAATTCAAATTACTTGTGTTGACAAATGGTGCTCATAGGGTGTTGCCTTCTAGAGCCGTGATGCTCGGGGGATGGAGCCAGTACATTGTTTATGGCAGTTCGGGGAAAATTATGAGATTACGGGGAAAATTTTGAGATTACGGGGGAAATTATGAGATTATGGGAAAATTTATGAGATTACGGGGAAATTTATGAGATTACGGGGAAATTTATGAGATTACGGGGAAAATTATGAGATTACGGGGAAATTTATGAGATTACGGGGAAAATTATGAGATTATGGGGAAAATTATGAGATTATGGGGAAATTTATGAGATTACGGGGAAAATTATGAGATTACGGGGAAATTTATGAGATTACGGGGAAAATTATGAGATTATGGGGAAAATTATGAGATTATGGGGAAATTTATGAGATTACGGGGAAAATTATGAGATTATGGGGAAATTATGAGATTACGGGGGAAATTATGAGATTATGGGGAAAATTATGAGATTACGGGGGAAATTATGAGATTACGGGGGAAATTATGAGATTATGGGGAAAATTATGAGATTACGGGGGAAATTATATTGAGATTACGGGGAAATTTATGACATCACGGGGAAAACTGTGAGATCAGAAAACTTAGAACTAGGGAACAATTATGAAAACTTCGAAAAAAAACCTGAAAGATTGGATACCTCAGGAATATTCATCAAACTCAAGCGTTCAGGAGGACTCAGGGAAAAATGTATGAAAATTAAAGAAAATTTATTTAACTCAAGAAGAGAGGAAGCAGGAAGGGGGGGGGGAGGGGGGGGGGTGATAGATCTGGTTCCTGCTGTAATCATAAGCAACAGATAACCACTTGAGACACGACGACATCTAATTGATTAACCAGTAAACCAATATGACAAAACGCATCTAAAATAACTAAAGCGTTCGACAATAAAAAAATAAGTGATGGAAAAATATAATTTATTTCAATCACGTATAATTTTTCGTTGTCTTGCGGCTCTTTTGTTACTGGTAGGCGGCTAAGCCAATCAGACGAAAGGATAGATACCTGGTGCTTCTGTTCGCCCTCTACCGCCCCCTGGCAGGTATGGAAAGAAATTAATTTAGGTAGTAATTACAGGAATTCTCTGCCTGCACTTTTACCTATACAAATTAAATCACAGACCAAGCAAGTGTAGCTCTTACAGTCATTGTGAATTACGTCTAGTTTAATGTTTTTCCCTAAGCTTTGATAATGTAAAAAGAGGTCAACACCCTCGCCACTAACCTCCAACTACCCGTCCTCGTCACGCCCTTGGCAATATCCTGATAGTCATTATTACCTCACGAGAAAAATAAGCAACTAATGGCAGTATCGGGCGAACGTTCGTCTGGCGCAATCTTCTTCTAAGAGTGTCAGTGAAGGAGGAGGGAAGCTGTTGACCATGTTCTTATAATAGTTTACAGTCACTACTGTTGACGACACAGTCTACCTGCAACCCATCATAATAAAACATAACTAAATATATTAAATAAAACAAAATATAATATTAACTCAAGAATAAATGTTTGTAATAAGTAAAACACTGTATCCAACCTGTAAGTTTTACTTGTAACTGTTGGCTACTTGTAAAACTTAACAACTTACTACATAATGTGAGAATTGTCAACATTATACTAAGACAGTGTTGACCAAAGACTATATACGGAAGCTAGGGAAGTGGCCGCCTTTAGCCCAGCATAAAGTGTACAGTATAAGGTTGTAGGTCGTTTGGGCCAATGGGCTATGGACGTTTGCTTTGGGCTAGGGTGGTTATGATCTGACCTAACCTAACCAAACGCTCGTGGCCCAAACATCCGCTCACCACTGTATACACTCCAGTGTGGACCAGATACTGACCTTCCTGGCCGACGGCTGCTTCACGGCACGAGGCCTTTATCATCATCATCATCATCATCATCATCATCATCATCATCATCATCATCATCACCAGGTCACATACTTCAGTGGCCGACACATCATTCTTCCCCCACTCTCGCTGTGCGCGGCTCTGGAAAATAAATATATATATTATTTAATTCACCGTCAACCTCGACACACCACAGGGAGGAGCAAACCTAAAATACGAGGTTGTTTTCCCAGAAACTCAGAACTTACTGCATAACCAATTTTAAACCCAAGCTTTATTCTCAGACTCGTTCACCAACTTCCAGTGACAGTATTATATTATTAGACTTTCAATAGTTTTACACACAGACTATATCTCTATAGATCTATTAATACAGTCAAGGTAATATGATACCTGTCAATGAGGAAACAAATTATATCGGGTTAATGAGGGAGACATTAAGCTGTGTGTTCCATTAGGCTTCAACTATGGTTCATCCAGTAATCAGTGGACCTCCGTATGGACATTTCAATACTACACCATCCAGCCTTTATGACGTTTTCCAATGATAATTTTACCATTACTAATATGAGTAAAGGCGGAACACACAATAGGCCACCCACCATTGTTGATATACACCAATGTTACTCAGCTTAACATGTCCCGAAAAGTATCGCGATATATGTACATATAATTGGAAATATTTCTTTATATTAATTATTTTAATATTAGGCTGAGTATTACCTTATGTTCCTAGTTATTGTGACGACATAACAGAGTAAGTGTTTAAATATATTGTTATATTTCTAAGAATTTTAGACTATTTAAACCCTACTGTGTATTCTCACTGGTGCAGGGGCTCTAGCTTCTGAGGGGCCCAATGGTGCAGGGGCTCTATCTTCTGAGGGTCCCAATGGTGCAGGGGCTCTAGCTTCTGAGGGGCCCAATGGTGCAGGGGCTCTAGCTTCTGAGGAGCCCAATGGTGCAGGGGCTCTAGCTTCTGAGGGGCCCAATGGTGCAGGGGCTCTAGCTTCTGAGGGCCCAATGGTGCAGGGGCTCTAGCTTCTGAGGGGCCCAATGGTGCAGGGGCTCTAGCTTCTGAGGAGCCCAATGGTGCAGGGGCTCTAGCTTCTGAGGGGCCCAATGGTGCAGGGGCTCTAGCTTCTGAAGGGCCCAATGGTGCAGGGGCTCTATCTTCTGAGGGGCCCATTGGTGCAGGGGCTCTAGCTTCTGAGGGGCCCAATGGTGCAGGGGCTCTAGCTTCTGAGGGGCCCCGTGCAAGATGATGGCCCCACAACCCTCCCATCTCGCCCACTCCCTCACCCACATTCAGTATATTCCTGGTTTTTCGAGAACATCATCTTGGTGAAAGATAAACCAGGAAGGTAAACCAGTATCAGTTGACAAGGTTTTATAAACTAAAACCGCCAAATCTCGGACTTACTGGCGCCAGATGGCTCAAACACTCGCCTGCAGTTTTGAGAAGCACACAACACACAGGAGAATTGAAATACGAATCCTACTAAATAACAAATACATTGTATTCAGGAGGCAGCCCCACAGACCGCACATAGCGGGGGACGACCCTACAATAGTGCTATTATGCAGGTACTTACAATTCAATGGGACAATCTTCTGGCCAAATCATCTTATGGTGGTGTAAAAGATCACTCGAGTTACAATTATATTATCGAGGCAGCTTATAACAACATCGGTCTTCCATTATGGTGAGTAACACGGTTTAAATCTTGTAGCCCTTTTGTTATTTACTTATACCAGAATAGGCCATTCAATTACTGCATAGATTACTCCCAATATAATTATCAAATAGCATTTATATATAATCTTACAGAGTTTTGATAGTGTAGCGGTGGTAAAGATCATTAACTGTAGTGAAGTAGAGCCTCGTATTTTGACAAGTTTAAACCACTATTCCCAAATTCCTGACATAAATACAGTAATCGCTAAGTGTCTGGGCCATTTATTATTATCATTATTTACTTTAGCTTAATAATTTATATAACTAACACTTAATATTTATCTAACATCTTTCATACACTTTTTACATAAGGTAGATTATGAAAAATAGAAAAACTGGAAGAGGAAATGGTAGAGAGAAGTAATAAATTAAAGAAAAGTTGCCAGGTGAATAGACAATCTTTTTCGTGTTCCTCTATTTTTCATATAGCGATTACTGCTTTATTATTGTGATTATTAACTCGTAAACACTTCCTTGATTAAGAAACTTACATTATATTCTCAGTCATGTACGAGTTATGGGCGCAGTAAGACACATAGGTTAACCAATACTACGCTGTCCTTCCCTTCCCACCAGATGTTAGCACCGAGCTTGACTGACTGGATCCGCCTCTCGTCTCAAATCCATTTACAAACATCTGTCTCAAAAAAAAAGTTATCGTGTTGTGACTTTTATTATATGCTTATCACACTTTTATAGTGATACTAGTCGGCTATTAGGTGTTAACGATGAGAGAGAGAGAGAGACTTTAATCCTTCACTTTTGACCCATAATCACGGCACCAAAACTCTTTACTGATGATAACTACAGGTAAAGCATAATCTCAGGTGTTAATATAATTACATAACCAATAATTACATCATTTAAATTATACATTACCTTTTCTTAGTCACAATTCAAGTGAGATATAGACCAATTAGGAAACATATCCACCAACCAAACTCTGAAGCATAAATTAAATACAAAAATCACCCACAGAAAAGTCGCACATTTTTTTCGAAAGACTTACTAGACTAATGAAGCTAAACTAATTTGGCCAATAATTCTGAAACAAAAGAGAGAAACTTCAGGGAAATACTAAAAGAACGGAGGGAACTTCTTCCTTCCTTGCTTAACTTAACTAAGACAACATCAACACCGACACACAACCTAAGTTACCTGACAAGAAGCGGTACAGAAAAGGTTAATTCAAATATATAAAGTGTTAAATGAATATACTTCTTGCTCGGGGTGTTTATGAAGTCTTAGAGAAAACGGAAGCTATATGAATGGATATACTTGGATATACTTAACTAAAACATACCGCAGGATATAAAGTATATAAGGAACATGATATGTATAAAACTGTTCTAAAAGCGATTATTCAAGTTTATCTTTTTAGTTGGCCGTTCATAGTTACAGATTGTTAGGTGCTGAGCAAGTACACTGGCTGGTCCAAACACTAACACTGGCTGGTCCAAACACTAACACTGGCTGGTCCAAACACTATCACTGGCTGGTCCAAACACTAACACTGGCTGGTCCAAACACTAACACTGGCTGGTCCAAACACTATCACTGGCTGGTCCAAACACTAACACTGGCTGGTCCAAACACTATCACTGGCTGGTCCAAACACTAACACTGGCTGGTCCAAACACTGGCTGGTCAGAAACACTAACACTGGCTGGTCCAAACACTAGCACTATTTGGTCCAAACACTAACACTGGCTGGTCCAAACACTATCACTGTGGTCAAACACTAACACTGGCTGGTCCAAACACTAACACTGGCTGGTCAAACATAACATAATGCTGGTCCAAACACTAACACTGGCTGGTCCAAACACTAACACTGGCTGGTCCAAACACTAACACTGGCTGGTCCAAACACTAACACTGGCTGGTCCAAACACTAACACTGGCTGGTCCAAACACTAACACTGGCTGGTCCAAACACTAACACTGGCTGGTCCAAACACTAACACTGGCTGGTCCAAACACTAACACTGGCTGGTCCAAACACTAACATAGCTGGTCCAAACTATCGCTGGCTGGTCCAAACACTAACTGGCTGGTCCAAACACTAACACTGGCTGGTCCAAACACTTATCACTGAGCTGGTCCAAACACCCCAACCCTAGCTGGTCCAAACACTAACTGGCTGGTCCAAACTACTAACACTGGCTGGTCCAAACACTAACACTGGCTGGTCCAAACACTAACACTGGCTGGTCCAAACATAACACTAGCTGGTCCAAACACTTAACACTGGCTGAATCCAAACACTAACACTGGCTGGTCCAAACACTAACACTGGCTGTGGTCCAAACACACTAACACTGGCTGGTCCAAACACTAACACTGGCTGGTCCAAACACTAACACTGGCTGGTCCAAACACTATCACTGGCTGGTGCAAACACTAACACTGGCTGGTCCAAACACTATAACTGGCTGGTGCAAACACTAACACTGGCTGGTCCAAACACTAACACTGGCTGGTCCAAACACTAACACTGGCTGATCCAAACACTAACACTGGCTGGTCCAAACACTATCACTGGCTGGTCCAAACACTATCACTGGCTGGTCCAAACACTAACACTGGCTGGTCCAAACACTATCACTGGCTGGTGCAAACACTTAACACTAGCTGGTCCAAACTAACACTGCCAGGTTATGAAAAGTTAGCCCACAGATTCCAGTACTATTTACTTATATCAATATCATTCCTCCTCTCATATGCTCCCTCATTATCAACGTCACTTAAGGATGATGGTCAAACGATAATCAATTTTCATTATTTGTTGTTCTTTTCATTACAGTTAACACATTGAAGATTATGTAGTTATGCAGATGAGAAACATTTATATATCTATCTATTTCATGCAACTGTTCACATTACATAACATAATCATACGTAACGCGGGAATATTGGTAGAGTTTAACGATGTGTAGTTACATTATAGTTAAGATGACTTTACAGCATCTTTAAAACATTTCTGATCAAGAGTAAAACTTCTATCATAATATCTTACCTAAACATTAACACAAGTTGAAAATTAAGTTTAAAATGTCTCTAATTATATCAAGTTCTATAATAAGCTAAAATTTCTGAAAGTTACAAGTAATTCTATAAAATTTATTGTAGTTATAATTACAAACTGTATGTAACTATATGAATAATCAGTATATATATATTTTTGTGATGTATTTCCTAACAATAAAGTATTACAGTTGTGATGACAAACACTTGTTATTCCCCTCCTCAGTAATTATACAATATATGAAGCCGATTTTCTGTCTGTCTGTCTTAAATATTGTTTCATTGGCTAATTCTTTATTTTATCTTGTTATTCCTTCTCATTCTCTTTGTTTTCTCTCTCTGTGTTCGTATCTTTTTTCCACGAATTAAATTTATTCTTCTACTTGCGTTCCATTTATTGTAGTTTTCTGTCTCTCTCTCTCTCTCTCTCTCTCTCTCTCTCTCTCTCTCTCTCTCTCTCTCTCTCTCTCTCTCTCTCTCTCTCTCTCTCTCTCTCTCTCTCTCTCTCTCTCCATCACTTTCATAACCAGTTTCTTTTTAACTTTCCCTCACTGGTTTTATCTTCCATTTACTTTAACCTTATGTTTCAATTTACGTTTTCTATTAATTATTTACCATTTACTTTTAACCCTCGTTCGTTTTTTTTCCATATTCTTATTTTTTCCACCATTTTCTCTTCCCCTTGGTCTACAGTATTTATCTCTCTTCTTGAACTCTCTCTTCCTTAATCATCAAATTTCTCTCGTTTTCTCTTCAATTCTATGTTCTTCTTTTTCTTACCTACGTTTCTCCTTCCTTCTCTTAGTATCCTACATTACTTTCTCAGCTTCTTTTCACTCTCTTAGCTTTGCTCCGTCTCTCAAAGGTTAGGTTAGCTTAGGTTAGGTTAGCTTAGGTTAGGTTAGCTTAGGTTAGGTTAGCTTAGGTTAGGTTAGCTTAGGTTAGGTTAGCTTAGGTTAGGTTACCCTAGGTTAGTTAGCTTAGGTTAGGTTAGCTTAGGTTAGTTAGCTTAGGTTAGGTTAGCTTGGGATTAGGTTTAGGTTGGGTTAGCTTAGGTTAGGTTACCCTAGGTTAGGTTAGCTTAGGTTGGTTAGCTTAGGTTAGGTTAGCTTAGGTTAGGTTAGCTTAGGTTAGGTTAGCTTAGGTTAGGTTAGGTTAGAGTTATTTTGCGCTAGGTTTATTAAGAGCTATTTAATGTTGTAGTGAGATGGACCATTTATTGGTATGAAGGGCCATTTAGTGGCATGAGGGGCCATATAGTGGTATGAGGGGCCATTTAGTGGCATGAGGGGCCATATAGTGGTATGAGGGGCCATTTAGTGGTAAGGGGGACCATTTACTATGTTTTTTGGGGCCATCTATTGATACGAGAGACCATTTCTGATATGGGGGGGCCATTTAGTGTTTTTTCTGGGCCATTTATTGATATGAAGGGCCATTTAGTAGTGTGTGATGGACCATTTGGTACTGTGTGTGATGGACCATTCAGTAGGATAGTCTTGGCTAGTTAGTTGTGCCTGGGCTGGGAGGGGGGTAACTACGGTAGGTTGGGGCGACAAACAGCGTAGGTACAGCCGCCAGCACATGAGGCACACCAATGCCACCAGGAAAGTGACGAACTCCAGGACGCTAATGATGCTACAGCCCAGGAATAGTCCCATGTAGCCTCCGAGGTCACCTGGTGGAGGAGCAAACACAGGCCTACATTACTACAGGGACAGATGAGAGGGACTACATTACTACAGGACAGGTGAGAGGGGCTACATTACTACAGGGACAGGTGAGAGGGGCTACATTACTACAGGGACAGGTGAGAGGGGCTATATTACTTCAGGGACAGGTGAGAGGGGCTATATTACTTCAGGGACAGGTGAGAGGGGCTATATTACTTCAGGGACAGGTGAGAGGGCACATTACTACAGGACAGGTGAGAGAGGCTACATTACAGGGACAGGTAGGGGCTATATTACTTCAGGGACAGGTGAGAGGGACTACATTATTACAGGACAGGTGAGAGGGGCTACACAACTTTAGGTCAGGTTGAGAGAGAGCGATAAAGTATGTATGTATGTATGTATGTATGTATGTATGTATGTATGTATGTATGTATGTGATAGTGTTTGTGTATTGTACTGTGTGTGTGTGTGTGTGTGAGTTAGAGCATGTGACTGTGTGTGTGTGTGTGTGTGTGTGTGTGTGTGTGTGTGTGTAAAAATCACCACCTATTGTATACATAACAAAACTACCTGTTGTTCTCTTAACCTTTAAAAGCGATTAATTAATTATTAAACTCATCAATAAAATAATTCCTAACTAAAAATAATTAAACTTTGTGTTGGTGATAAAAATCCACTAAATTAATTAAATTAGTTATAACTTTATAAACTGACCTTTCATTTTATACGACGGTTTTTCATCATTAATTAAAGAATTCTTAATTTATAAAAAAAAATCTCACTTAAATTAAGGAAGATAATTTTATGCTATAGTAATAATTTTGAGACATACAGAGAGAGAGAGAGAGAGAGAGAGAGAGAGAGAGAGAGAGAGACAGACCAGACAGACAGACAGAGAGAGAGAGAGAGAGAGAGAGAGAGAGAGAGAGAGAGAGAGACAGGCAGACAGACAGACAGACAGAGAGAGAGAGAGAGAGAGAGAGAGAGAGAGAGAGAGAGAGAGAGAGAGACAGACAGACAGACAGACAGACAGACAGACAGACAGACAGACAGACAGACAGAGAGAGAGAGAGAGAGAGAGAGAGAGAGACAGACAGACAGACAGAGAGAGAGAGAGAGAGAGAGAGAGAGAGAGAGAGAGAGAGAGGTGAGTAACGTACCAATGAGCTGACCGATGTCCTCTCGCCAGAACTTAACGCAGGTGTAGGCCAGGTGAGGGTAGTACACAGTCACGGCCGACAATGTGCTCCTGCCACGGGAACTAACACACCCATAATGTATCAGTAACATAACCGTAACACCCCCGTCACATTACACACCCGTTACATCACACACCCGTTACATCACATCCCCGTCACATCACACACCCGTCACATCACACACCCGTTACATCACACACCCGTTACATCACATCCCCGTCACATTACACACCCGTCACATTACACACCCGTCACTTCACACACCCGGTACATCACATGAGGTACTGGTTACACCCGTGTAACCAGTGGGGTTCCCCAGGGGTCAGTACTAGGCCCACTCTTGTTCATAATCTACATAAACGATCTAGATACTGGGATCAGCAGTGACATAATAAGCAAGTTTGCTGATGACACCAAAATAGGGCGGCAGATTAATTCAGGGCAGGATGCAAATGCATTACAGGAGGATCTAAATAAACTGCAGGGGTGGTCTGAAAAATGGCAAATGAAATTCAACACCAGCAAGTGCAGCGTAATTAATATTGGAAGAACAAATACTTATAATGTATACAGCCTTAACAACATCAACCTAGAGAAGTCGACTTGTGAAAGAGACCTAGGGGTACTTGTATGCCCGGACCTACGGTTTAGAAAACAGTGCGTTAATGTTCGAAATAAGGCAAACAGAGTATTGGGTTTTATATCTAGAAGTGTAAGTAATAAGAGTGCAGCGGTCATATTGCAACTATATCTTGCGCTAGTCAGGCCGCACCTCGATTATGCGGTTCAGTTCTGGTGCCCTTATTATAGAATGGATATCAATTCACTGGAGTCGGTGCAGCGAAGAATGACGAAAATGATTCCGCGACTTAGAAACCTTCCATATCAGGATAGGTTAAAGAAACTAAACTTGCATTCTCTAGAAAGACGAAGAGTGTGGGGAGATATGATAGAAGTATTTAAGTGGGTGAAAGAATTCAATAAAGGGGATATAGATAAAGTTCTTATAATATCCGAGCAAGATAGGACTCGAAGCAACGGATTTAAGTTGGGTAAGTTTAGGTTTAGGAGGGAGATAGGAAGGAACTGGTTCACAAATAGGGTGGTGGACGAGTGGAACAAGCTTAGCAACTTTGTAGTAAGTGCTGGAACGCTGGAAAGTTTCAAAAGGAGGCTAGATAGATTCATGGATGATAGAGAGTGGTAGTAACTCTCGACAGGAGCTGCCATGCACAGGCCAACCGGCCTATTGCAGACTCCTTATTTTCTAATGTTCTTAAAACAACAACAAAATCATAGGCTATCAAAATGGCGTCAAATTTGAATTAAAACTCTACCATACTCATGTGTGACTTTGTGATAATAATAATAATGATGTACAGGGTGTTCCAAAAAAAGACCTGGAGAAAATGTTTTGTTAATAAATTTAGAACCACAAATGATAAGACGATATTGTCCAGGTCTTTTTAGGAACACCCTGTACATTATTATTATTAGTACTATTATAATTTATTATTGGTAATCATTATATAATTAGTATTACAATTATAAGTAGTTTATCTTTGAACTATCCATTACCGCTCGTCAACCAGGAATACTACAGGAGACATAAAACAAGCTAGTATCCCTTCCTCCCTGCTACCCAGACCATAACATTACTCACTCATTATCCACCAAGAAGTTGTTATTCAGCTCGTCCAGAAGGGTAGCACGGATAGGGTTAGTCGAGGCGGTGTAACTGTATGATAGCTCGTCACACACGGGCTTACACTTACGATACGCTGTCCATGAAAGAGAAATAAGTCATGAGGGCTTAGGTTAATTCAAGTATTTTTTGTTATATTTCTGGGTATATTACTGACAGACATACACACACACACACATACACACATACACACTATAAAAGACACAGACACGAACACAAACACTCATTATCAAACTACACACACGCGAAGAGACACAAACAAACACTCACTAACAAACACACACACACGCACAAGATACAAACAGAATCACACACACACACACACGCACAAGATGCAAACAGAATCACACACACACACACACACACACACACACACACAAAGAACAAAACTCGCCTGCAGACAAACACCGATTAGCCTTGGTCAACTTATCTTGGTCATCGCTCACGTCCAGGTTACTGAAGGTCGGTACCTGAGAGAGCTTCCCCACCTGAGCTATGAGTTGATTGTAGCACTTAATCACCTCTTGTGGGGTACACATCTTCTCCATTAATCCTGAAGGAGTAGTCGAGGTCTTAGCTGAACTGTTACGCTCACTGAACCATTTATATCATGTTTACAGTCGAGTCTCATTATAATTTATATCATGTTTCAGTTTTAATTGCAATTTATATCGTGTTACAATTGAGTTAAGGTCGGCACAAATTTGTAGGCCAAAGTTAAGTGAAATGTGTAAACGAGGTAGAAATAATAACTGTGTTGGATTGAATAAAGGAGTGACACATTTATATTTTCGTTGTGTAATGGTGAGAGAGAGAGAGAGAGAGAGAGAGAGAGAGAGAGAGAGAGAGAGAGAGAGAGACTCACGCCTACCCACCTTCCCCTTGGTCCTCGCTATAAAACCTGCAGCCACACACCCTCCTGAAGCATCTAGTGAGGGCGCCGTCGAAGCAGTTGATGGTGGTGGCAAGGAAGGAAGATCTGTCCTTGTGGTAGTCGAGGTGGTAGGAAGGCACACACTCGGGCTCCTTTATATCCAGAAGTGTCTTCAATCCTTGCGAGTTGATCTGAGGACGACAAGAGGGTCTGAAGCTTCGTACTGTTTACGTAAGCTGGTCTGAAGCTTCGTACTGTTTACGTAAGCTTAACTTTTAAGATGTAAACAAAATTTGGGGGTGTAATGTGTTTAAACCGAGTGATGTAAACCTTCATAATATAATATATACACTTTTACCTCTTCTCGTAGGTGAAAGGTGAACCACTGAGAGACGCTGACCTTGGTGAGAGAGATCTGGATGGAGGTGAGAGAGCCCGGGGTGAGGATGGTGCCCTGACCGGTCACTACCATGCCCAGGTAGGTCAGGTTGCTGGTGACAGTGACCTGTATGCCGGACTTCACCAGACGAGAAACTTGCAAAATGCTGGGCGTCACAACTGCTCGAGGGGGAGACACAAACAGGCATTTTGTAATACACATCTATCACCCGTCATTTAGAAACAAGTGCAATAGAGTAGTACAATGGTCTGACAGTACAGAAGAATATTTTCCCCATCACTGACTGAGTAACATTTTACATTAATAACTAAACTGTAGCTGTACATCTGTCGGCATAGTTAAATCACAGGAGGTTATGTTCAGTTAAGTCTAAAAAGGTCTAGACTCGGTTAATTACACCACAACACCCTAAAACACAGTCATCAATTTCCCTCTGTTAATGAAAGCATAATTGACCTAACGGCATACAGTGGTGATGGTGCAGCTAAAATATATCCTAATATCACAGCTAGACACATAAGGTGACCAGAGAAACATCGTAACTTACCAGGTATGTCGTCTTTGCGGAGCTTCATATAGAAAACCAGTCCCATGTACTCGCCTACGATGGCCTGTCTGTCAGAGGCTCCGGCGACCCGACTGAAGCAGAGGCCGCTGTTGGTGGACACGGGTGTGAATTTCCTGCAGCACTTCTCTTGGTCCTCTTCCATCGCCCCCTGACCACACTTATGGACCAGATCCTCACACCTGTCCACCACCACACCAGTTAATTACAGGATACACTTAAAGTACACCCATAACATTCAGGTTGGGTTTGTAAGTTAGCAGGAGCCAACTCATCTCACCTGACACAGGAGGAAGTAAAAAATCCCTGAATACCGATTTGACGACTTACAGTTTGATAAGACTAGAAACCTTATACAAACCTAACCTGACTTAACGAAACTTAACCTAACCTGACTTAATCAAACTTAACCTAACCTGACTTAACCAACTTAACCTAACCTAACATAACCATCAACTCAATTTAGGATACTCGTGAGAGAGAGAGAGAGAGAGTCCCACCTATTTCAAAACACTCTCATGATCCTTTAACTCACGTGTAGGATACGGCGGTAATCAGCTCGCTCATGGTCATGTTATTGTGCCTTAGGATTCTCTGGAGGTCCTGGTGGGCGTCAGCTAACATCTGGCGTCCTTCAGGGGTGTCCAGAAGTCCTAGACGAGCCAGGCTGGGCGTCCCAGCAACCAACATCAAGTAACTGGTTGTGTCCCACCTATTTCAAAACACTCTCATGATCCTTTAACTCACGTGTAGGATACGGCGGTAATCAGCTCGCTCATGGTCATGTTATTGTGCCTTAGGATTCTCTGGAGGTCCTGGTGGGCGTCAGCTAACATCTGGCGTCCTTCAGGGGTGTCCAGAAGTCCTAGACGAGCCAGGCTGGGCGTCCCAGCAACCAACATCAAGTAACTGGTTGTGTTCCGGTTGATTTCGTAGGCTGAGGAGGAGGCGAGTGTGAGAGTGGTTGACAGGTGAAAGTGGGTGAGTGTGGATGAGTGTGGGTGAGAGGTGAGAGTGTGGGTGAGTGTGGGTGAGAGGTGAGAGATGAGAGTGGATGAGTGTGGGTGAGAGTGTGGGTGAGTGTGGGTGAGAGGTGAGAGATGAGAGTGATGAGTGTGGGTGAGAGTGTGGGTGAGAGGTGAGTGTGGGTGAGAAATGAGAGAGAGAGAGAGAGAGAGAGTGTGGGTGAGAAATGAGAGAGAGAGAGAGAGAGAGAGAGAGAGAGAGAGAGAGGTGAGGGGGCGAGACTTACCCTCGAGCTTGGCCCTGGAGAAGTAAGCCCTGTTACAGATCACCACCGTCGGTAGCTGTAGCCCGCCTATTTGTGCTGCCATGGCGGTGGTCTGCACGAGGTGGAATAATGATAAAACAGTTTATTTACCCCAGAATGATAGATCCCCTCCCTCACCCATACACTTCCTCTGTGTGGTTGACTGTTTTATAAGAGAACAAAGGGAGAGGTGTGTAAATTTACACTATCAAAGACACCAACAGACAGACAGACACGCACGCAAACACACCTCTACCTCACCTGAGACCTCACATCCCGATGAAAGAAGGAAATGAAGTATTCGACACTGGCAAACCCTAGGCTGGCGGTGAGGATGGTGGTGGCGATGGCCCACAAGACGCTGAAGCCGTTGCCACGGTTCCTGGCCACGTGAGGGGGTCCATGGCAGGTGGTGCTTTGATTAAACCACAATACCAGCTGGCTTACCGTCACGTTCTGAGGGGGAGGAGAGAGCCTGTCTAAATAACTTGCTCTTGTGCTCTTGTTGATATATGTAAACAAGAGGGCTAATAATAATAATAGTAATAATAATAATAATAATAATAATAATAGTAATAATAATAATAATAATAATAATAATAATAATAATAATAACCGCTTCTATCCCTACTAGTAAATCCTTAAAATACTAAACAAGACAAAATCTACTGAGCTAAAAGATTCTTCCATTCAGCTAAAATAGTAAGACTTCTCTAACACTCCTGGTAACTGCTGGGCGTGACCCGAGACACCGCATTGTTCACACCTTTTGCTCCTGAAGACAAGTTGGAGGTCGGAGGTCACGTGGAAAAGATATATGTGTAATAGTATCCTCTCTCTCTCTCTCCTTTTTAGTATCACCCTGTTCCTTCTCTCCCCTCCCCTCCCCATCTCTCTCTCACACACCAAATTCCAATATCAACTTCAACTCCTAACTAAAGCCATTCTCAACACAGCCAGCCATTACAACAATTACTGCAAAACTGAAACTCTCTATTCTGAAATAAAACAAAGTGGTACACAGTGTGGGTCCACCTAGTGTGTAAAGGGGGTCATATTAGGGGAGAAAAAGGTGAATTGGGACACTGTGGACCTCTGTGTGGGTGGGGTGTGGGGGTAGGGGGTGGGGTGTGGGGGTAGGGGGTGGGGTGTGGGGGTAGGGGGTGGGGTGTGGGGGTAGGGGGTGGGGTGTGGGGGTAGGGGGTGGGGTGTGGGGGTAGGGTGGGGTGGGGGTAGGGGTGGGTGTGGAGACGTAGGCTACACTCACAGTACACTACACCACCACCACTAAGGTCAACCACTACACTACACTTACTCACCACTGTTGTCAACCACTACACTACACTACCACCACTAGTTGTCAACCACACTACACTCACACCACTGTTGTCAACCACTACACTACCACCACTGCTAACCACACTACACTACACTACCACCACCGGTTGTCAACCACTACACTGGCTAATTCACCACCACTGTTGTCAACCACTACACTTATACTACCACCACTGTTGTCAACCACTACACTACACTACCACCACTGTTGTCAACCACTACACTACACTACCACCACTGTTGTCAACCACTACACTACATTACCACCACTGTTGTCAACCACTACACTACACTACCACCACTGTTGTCAACCACTACACTACACTACCACCACTGTTGTCAACCACTACACTACACTACCACCACTGTTGTCAACCACTACACTACACTACCACCACTGTTGTCAACCACTACACTACATTACCACCACTGTTGTCAACCACTACACTACATTACCACCACTGTTGTCAACCACTACACTACATTACCACCACTGTTGTCAACCAATACACTACACTACCACCACTGTTGTCAACCAATACACTACACTACCACCACTGTTGTCAACCAATACACTACACTACCACCACTGTTGTCAACCACTACACTACAACCACTGTTGTCAACCACTACACTACAACCACTGTTGTCAACCACTACACTACCACCACTGTTGTCAACCACTACACTACCACCACTGTTGTCAGAGAGAGTGTTTCTAGTTAAGGAATCACCTATTTCTCCCTTGTTCAACATTCACACAACACAGGTGAGGTGACACAGCCATCATCAGCGGAGGGACAGTATCCTAAAACACCGCCCTACCTTAAGTTGAGCAATACTAGATAGGACTCCTCTACGGGGGGCAGGATGTGTGTAGGCGCCTGGTGTAGAGTAGGACATGGTGGGCGGCAGGTTAGCGTAGCAGAGAGCGGTTGGTCAGTGTAGCAGTGGGCGGCAGGTTACACTATGAAGCTTCGGTTGGTGAACGAAGGCCAGAAACGCTGCCTCCAGTTGACGGAGATCTGGGGAAAAGTTCTTATTAAAAGTGACTGGTGGAGACTGATATGTATGTATGTATGTATGTATGTATGTATGTATGTATGTATGTATGTATGTAGGTATGTATATTGGATTCACGTAGTAGTAGTTTAAGTTTCGAGTTAATTAGGTTAAAATTGGCAGTGACGACCTAAAATTGAGAGAGAGAGATGATTACCTGTATGGGAGAAGACACTGGGCCAACAACACGCCACCTACTGGGTCGACACAGGTGCTGGCCTTCACGTCTGTAACAAGTTCGATCAGCTGAGTCATGTGCACAAATGAGTCCAGGAATGTGACTCTCTCTCTCTCTCTGAAGGAGACTAGGTCCACCTATCCTTAAGTACGTCCTATCGACCCCTCATGAACGACTCGATCTCCCTCACTAAAACGACTTATTGTACCTCAGACGACCTCGCTCACCTCCACGATTCCCGGACCTCCCCCCACCCGGCTCGACCTCCCTCACTCTTGACCTCCCCACTCAAACGACCTCCCCCACTCCCCCTGCTCCGACTCCCCCCACACGGCTTCCCGCACTCCACACGACCTGCCGGCCTCCCCCACCTGCTCGGCTCGACGACCCTCGACTCCACCCGACCTCCGACAGAGAGAGAGAGAGAGAGAGAGAGAGAGAGGGTGTGCCTCAAACTGTCAGGATCAACACATGCTCGTGGAAGTGAGTAATAATAATAATAATAATAATAATAATAATAATAATAATAATAATAATAATAATAATAATATATATTAAGTTAAGTACGCGGAGAACGATGGAGAGGGAGGGAGAGAGAGGTGCTGTGTTGGTTGAGAGGTGAGTGGGAGGAAGAGAAGGTTGGTGAAGGTGAGGTGAGAGGGGGAGGGTGAGGAAGGCGTAGCCAGGTAATGACTACTTGTACGTGTAACTTTATTGAAGGATAAGTTGTTGATGCACTGGAGATTGGGGTAGTGGGGAGTAGGAGGAGGGGGGGGAGGATTGGGGGGAGTTGGTGAGAGTAGGAAGAGGACTTGAGGCTCGGAAGAAGAGGTGAGGCTAGACACTGTAGGATATGGGGAATAGGAGGAAGAGGAGGAGGAGGTTGTAGGGGAAAGGGATGTGGGGAGAGAGGAAGCAGAAGAGGGACAGGTAAAAGCAAAAGGTGTATTGAAAATGTTATCACATAATAACTTAAGTGTATTAGTAAATAATAGTAGGTCAGGAGTGGGCCGGTAGAGGGTAGGCCGGTAGGTCTGGGATTGGTCAGGGTGGGCTCCGATTGGTCAGGTGGGCTCCGGTAGGTCAGGTGGGCTCCAGGTCAGGGTGGGCTCCGGTAGGTCAGGAGATGGGCTCAGTAGAGTCAAGTGGAAATCCCGGCTAAGATCAGGGTGAATCTGAGTGAGGTCAGGGTGGGCTCCAGTGGGTTAGGAGTGGGCTCCAGTGGTAGAAGCCAGGGTGGGCTCAGTAGGTCAGGGTGGGCTCCCGACAGGTCAGGGTGGACTTCATTGGGTCAGGATGGGCTCTGGGGTAGGTCAGGGTGGGCTCAGGTAGGTCAGGGTGGGCTCGGGTGGGTCAGGGTGGCTCAGTAGGTCAAGGTGGGCTCGTTGGTAGGTGAGGGTGGGCTCAGGTAGGTCAAGAGGTGGGGCTCAGGTAGGTCAGGGTGGCTCCGTTAGGTCAGGGTGGGCTCCAATAGGTCAATGGGTTCAAGGTCAGGGGTGGGCCCCAGTAGGTCAGGGTCGGGCCCCAAATGGTCCTCGATAGGTCAGGGTGGGTTCAGATATGTCAGAATTGGGCTCCGATGTGGGTTGTACGGTGGGCCAGGTAGGTCAGGTTCAGGTCAGTGGGCTCAGGTAGGTCAGACTCAGGTAGGCAGGGTGGGCTCAGGTGGGTCAGGTGGGCTCAGGTAGGTCAGGGGTGGGCTCAGGTAGGTCAGGGTGGCTCAGTAGGTCAGGTGGACTCCAGGTAGGTCGAATTATTGAGGCTCAGGTAGGTCAAGAGTGGGCTGGTAGGTCAGGTCAGGTAGGTGGGTAGGTCAGGAGTGGGAGTGAAGGGGCTCGTTAGTGGTAGGGTCGTTGGGGTGGGCTGGTCAGGAGTGGGCAGAATTGGGCTCGCTGGTAGGTCAGGGTGGGCTCCGTTAGGTCAGGTCAGAAGTCAGGGTGGGCCCAGGATAGGTCAGGAGTGGGCTCCGATAGATCAGGGTGGGCTCAGGTAGGTCAGGGTGGGCTCCCAGGTCAGAGTGGGCTCAGGTAGGTCAGGGTGGGTTCCAGTGGTCAGGGTGGACTCGGGTAGGACTGGGAGGTCAGGTGGGCTCAGGGTGGGCTCCAATAGGTCAGAATTGGGCCCCGATAGGTCAGGGGCTCCAGCCAGGTCAAGGTGGGTTCAAGGTAGGTCAGGTAGGTCAGGGTCAGGCTCAGGTGGGTCAGGGTTGAAAACTCAGGGGTCAGGGTGGGCTCAGGTAGATCAAAGTGGGCTCAGGTAGGTCAGAGTGGGTTCCGGTAGGTCAGGGTGGAATCGGGTGGAGTCAGGGCGGGCTCCGGTAGGTCAGGATGGGCTCCGATAGGGTCAGGGTGGGCTCCGATGGGTCAGGTTCAGGTATTAGGTCAGGTGGGCTCAAAGTGGGAGGCTCATAGGTTACAGTGGGCTCCGATAGGTCAGGGTGGGTTCAGGTATGTCAAGTCAGGGTCGATAGGTTGCAGTGGGCTCAGGTAGGTCAGGGAATTGGGCTCAGGTCAGGTGGGCTCAGGTAGGTCAGGGTGGGCTCAGGTAGGTCAAGGTGGGCAGTAGGCCAGTGGGAGGTAGGTCAGGGTCAGGGTTCAGGTCAGGTCAGGTGGGCTCAGGTGTTAGGTCAGGTGGGCTCCAGTAGGTGAGGGGGCTGGAAACCAGGTCAGGGTGGGCTCTGGGGGAGCTCATTGGATCAGGCTCAGGTCAGAGGTGGGCTCGCTGGCTCCATTAGGTCAGGGTGGGCTCCGTTAGGTCAGAATTGGGCCCCGATAGGCCAGTGGGCCCGATAGGTCAGGGCTGAGATCCTTGGTAGGTCAGGGAGGCTCAGGTAGGTCAGGGGCTCAGGTAGGTCAGAGTGGGCTCAGGTAGGTCAGGTGTGGGTTCCGGTAGGTCAGGGTGTACTCAGGTAGGTCAGGATGGGCTCCGGTAGGTCAAGAGTGGGCCGATAGGTCAGGGTGGGCTCAGGTAGGTCAGGGGTGGGTTCAGGTGGGTCAGGTGGGCTCAGTAGGTCAGGGTGGGCTCCCGAAAGGTCAGAATTGGGTTCAGGTATGTCAGGGTGGCCTCCGATAGGTTAGGTAGGCTCAGGTAGGTCAGGGTGGGCTCAGGTAGGTCAGGGTGGGTCAGGGTCAGGGTGGGTTCAGGAAGGTCAAGGTGAGGTCAAGGTCAGTGAGGTGGGTTCAGGTAGGTCAGAGTGAGTCAGAGTGAGCTCGGTGAGTGAGGTCAGTGGGCTCCGGTAGGTTAGGGGTGGGCTCCGATAGATCAGGGTTGGCTCAGGTGGTGGGCTCCGGCTCCAGTAGGTCAGGGTGGGCTCAGTCCGGTCAAGTGGGTCGGTCAGGTGGGCTCCGTTAGGTCAGGTGGGCTCCGAGGTCAAATTGGAGGGCTCCGGTAGGCCAGGGTGGGCTCCTGTAGGTCAGGGTGGGCTCCGGTAGGTCAGGGTGGGTTGCGAAATGTTAGAGCGTCTCTCAATATGCCAGGGTGGGTTTCAGTATGTCAGGGAAGGTTCTAATATACCGAGGGTGGACTCGTACTAAGTAATTGGGTCACCTACAAATATTTGGTCTACCCTAATATTATGTTCGTTAAGGACTAATATAATTACGACAGGTGTTTGGGTTATAGCGATTATCAAGCCATAAATGTTATATACGAGTACATTATCGTTACTGCCCGACAAACAGAGAGACACTCTTTAACGAGATACTTTATAACAGCAGTGTCAGGTATAATAATAATAATAATAATAATAATAATAATAATAATAATAATAATAATAATAATAATAATAATAATAATAATAATAATAATAATAATAAATAATAATAAATATAATAATAATAATAATAATAATAATAATAATAATAATAATAATAATAATAATAATAATAATAATAATAATAATATTTTGGATAGGTTATGTTACCTTTAGATTAGATTTGATTAGGTTAGGTTAGGTTACATTAGATTGGGTTAGGTTAGGTTAATTAAGGTTAAATTATGTTATGTTTTGGGTTTGGTTGGGTTTGGTTGGGTTTGGTTGGGTTTGGTTGGGTTTGGTTGGGTTTGGTTGGGTTTGGTTGGGTCGGGTATTTTCCACCGTTGTAGAATTTCGGTTTAAAAACTTCACCCCGAGTCAAGTCAGAGAAGAGAGACAGTGACCCTTCATGAATCACCCAGAAGGTTAGAGAGTTCCGGTGCTTACACAAACCCACCAGAGGCAGCTGATATGTGGCTTTGAAGGTGATAGCACTGACTGTTGGCTGGGTAGGAAGAACACCTGCTACAACGCACGCAAGCACACACACACACACACACTACAGCACACTCAAAACAGTATCTCTACGGGTGGGATCCGATGAATATCAGAATGAACACTATGACTCCTGTTGTCTCGGTAGGTGTGTCAAAATATTACGTCCGTTGTGTCACATTGTTTCACACACAGTAGTAAGGGTATTTTTTGTGAGTGTGTTAAGTACTAGAGTATACCGCCTGACTGATGGTCCTGTACAGCAGCACAGTAGGTGGACAATATTTCGATCACATGAAAATTAGACAACCTTATGCTACCTACGGGGTTAGGTTGGGTTAGCAGTAAGGGGTTAGGTTAGGTTAGCTTAGCTTTAGGGGAATTTGATCATTACGTGAAATACTGTATGTTGCGATGTCTAATTTTCAGGTGATCTACATTTATCTAATTATCAACTAAAATACGCGTCAAATGCCATTAAATTTTGCGAATTCTGGTTCATTAGTTAACCCATCCGCCTAACTATCGCCAATTAACAATGTGCGACACAATTTTTTTCCGAATTCAAGCCAATTAGTCAATCACACGGCTGGTGAAGTACCTGTCTGTCAACGCCAGAACCACAACATAACGCCAGCACTGGAGATTATCTACGCCTGGCGGTCTTCCTCTCCCCGGAATGACACGATTTTGAAACACACACACACAGGTAAGAGGCGGCTGCAGAAATAATTCATAAATGTGCTTGTCAGCATAAGAGGAAGGTCATAGGTTAAGGCTGCAATAGCTATGTCACAGGTCAGAGTAAAGATCAACAGAGGTCATTCA